TTTGTACCTTCTGACTTTTAATAAACACAAAAACGGCTGGAACTCTACTTTAACCATTAGCCGCCCGGCCTATAGCCGCTTGGCGGCGGCAAAAATGTGTTACCTTTCCGGTTGCACGCCATTTGGCGTCCTCCCGCACATGCGCAGTTCGCGCGGTTGCAGAGCCGCGCAGCTGTGCGATCTGTCACTGGCCGTGTACCTCGGACACGGCCGATGACAGATCTGAGTACCGGGTCTCTGTTGCCGGTGCCATGTGACCTGCTGTGACCAATCACAGCAGGTCACATGACAGTTGTATACAATGGATGGCTTCATTCATGCCATCCATTGTATACTAGTGCCTAGCTGTGAATGGTCACAGCAGGTCACATGCACATGTCATGTGATTAGCTGTGGCCAAATCACAGCTAAGTACAAAAAAAAAACCTGAATGAATCGATGCTTGTTTAAAATTGTGTAAAAAAAAAAATACTGATCACTTCCCCAAAGTAGTAAAATGTTACTATGGCAACATTGTACTACTTTGGTCATAGTAAAATATGAAAAAAAAATCTTAAATTTTTTTTTAAAAAAATGTAATAAAAAATTAAAAATAATAAAAAAAATAAAAATAAAAATAAAAAAATATATATATATATTCATACTGTCACCAGTCAGTGTCCCTGTTCACCACCATGCTAGTTATATGATGACGCTGTACTGCACTGGTGACAGTATGTAAAAAAAAAAAAATTGTGAAAATAATTTTTTAAATTTTTTTAATTTTCCAAAAAATTATGACAAAAAAAATACAACTTCAAAAAACTTGCCATGCCTCTTATGAAGTACGTCGGACTGTCTACTTTGCAAAAAGGGGTCATTTGGGGGATATCTGTACTATTCTGACATTCTTGGACCTCAAGAAATTAGATTGGCTGTCAGTACTTCAGGATTGATCAATTTTCAGATCTATACCATAGTTTGTGAACTCTATAACTTTCCTACAAACTAAATAATACATCCTAATTTGGGTTATTTTCACCAAAGACATGTAGCAGAATACATCTCGGCCTAAATTTATGAAGAACAATTATTTATTTGTAAACTTTTATAACAGAAACAAAGAAAACCGTGTTTTTTTTGGCCTTTTTTTGTTAATTTAGCAAAAAATAAAAACCCCAGCGGTGATTAAATACCACCAAAAGAAAGCTCTAGTTGTGTGAAGAAAATTATAAAAAATTTAATTTGGGTACAATGTTGTATGACCGCGCAATTGTCATTCAAAGTGTTAGAGCGCTGAAACCTGAAAAATGGCCTGGGCAGGAAGGTGTAAAATTGCCCGGTATTGAAATGGTTAAACCCCAAACCAAAATGTAATATATTGCAGCTTACCAATCACTAGCTGTGCTGGCTACCTCTGTTATCACCTGGTGATCTGGACAGTAAATAGGGTGCCCCCACTGTGGATGAAGGAGCGATAGAGCCACCATTAGACAGCAGCATTAGTTAGTTAATTAGATAGTTGCACTAGCAGATTTAGATACACTAACAAATTGAAGCCAAACTCCAGCTAATATCTTATAAGCAATTACACCAACAGTCTTGTTCCTTTTGGAATATAGGTTTTACATAAATAAAAGCTGATCGTTGTAAGCACCCTTGTTTGCGTTAAACAGGTTGTCCTGCTACATATGCAGGACAACCTGTTATGTTGAAAAACAACAGACTTACTGGCTAGATCACAAAGTAAAAATAAAGTAAAGCCTAAAAAAGAAAACAAATGCAGCCATCACATCTAAGAATTGTTAAGTTGCAATATAATAAATGTTTGCTTTTGAGTTGAATACGGCTTTACATCTATTAAGCTATGAGCCACATAGGAAGAGCATGGTTTTCAATGAGTTGGCTGACTCCAAGAGTGGCATTGTGAGAAGAAGCAGTAAAGCACAATCACTGTGTAGTACTGCAAGGCAGGGAGCCAAATATATAATCATCAAATATGCAAACAATAATAATATCACGCTATGGGAGTTTGCAAGGATGTATATTCAAGCAGCTGCTGATCCACCACCTTTATCTCGCTGAAACAGGGACATAAACATAAACCAATATCATATTTTAGTTTGGCGCTACAATACAACTCCCTCCTTCCTCCTTCAAGCATCCAAACAACATCTTACATGCTAAATACTCCAACAATGAAACAATAAAACTCCCATCAAGTGTAACCCCTTATGCTATGTCAATGTGTTTCTACATGTACTACAAAACACATCCCCTCTCCCAAGATGTTTCCAATATGATCACTGTATTACACTTCCTCCTCAATACCACAAATCAACAATATGATTAGTGGAATAATCAAAGAAAATATCCAAAAATGAAATTCGATGCTACATTATAAAATACAATGTGTGATGTCGTTAGCAAAGTGCTCTCAATAGTGAAAAACATAAACACACACTTATAATATAAAATGACTTGTACAGCACTTGGTTGTGCACCCCGGACCACTTTGCTAAGGACATCACGCATTGTATTTCATAATATATCATCGTATTTGCATTATAATATATAATCGTATTTTCATTTTTGCATATTTGCTTTGATTATTTCACTTATCATATTGTTGATTTATGGTATTGTTGGGGAAGTGTAATACAGCAATCATATTGAAAAAATCTAGGGAGTTGGAGGTGTTTTGTAGTACACATGTGGAAACACAGTGACATACAATAAAGGGTTACACTTAATGGAAATTTTATTGTTTCACTCTTGGAGTATCTTTAGACCAGCCTTTCTCAACCAGGGCGCCCAGGCACCTTGGGGTGCCTTAAGGCTTTTTCAGCCTTGGCAAAATGTCTAAACGTTGCACAAAACTTGTATACAAGCTAGCTGGTGGAAGAAGCCTGACTTTTAGTTACACAGAGCCACAGGTTTTCATTGTGCACCATTACGACCTTCTAGCCACCGGCATCCTGACAAACCAATGACATCATCAGTTGATAAGGAGGATGTCAGTTGCCTGCACAGCATCCTTGTTTGACCCTCCCCTGCCCCTCTTCATCAGTTCTGGGGTCACATTAGCTCAGTGATGGAGAAAAACACTGGAATACTAGTCAGGACCAATGTGCAAAAGTGTATTTGATGTGGAAGAATAAATCATCTCTAGCGTTGGGTGTCTTACATGTGTGGATGTTGCTGCATTATATACAGTTGTGACCAAAATTATTCAACCCCCACTGAAATTGAGTGTTTTGGCCAGTTTGACATTGCTTTTGATCATTCAGTCATCTTGCTTACATTTACATTAAAGAGGCACTTGTAGGTCAGACAAATATAACATAACAGTTATAATGAAATAACCACAAATGTCTTTTCTGTGCTCACAGCATTATCAGTTTTATTCAACCCCCAAGTGACATTCAATCAGTACTTAGTACAGCATCCTTTTACAGTTATAACAGCTTTTAAACGTGAAGCATAGCTTGACACAAGTGTCTTGCAGCGATCTACGGGTATCTTCGCCCATTCTTCATGGGCAAAGGCCTCCAGTTCAGTCACATTCTTAGGCTTGCGCACTGCAACTGCTTTCTTTAAGTCCCACCAGAGGTTCTCAATCGGATTTAAGTCTGGTGACTGCGATGGCCACTCCAAAATGTTCCAGCCTTTCCTCTGCAACCATGCTCTAGTGGACTTGGAGGTATGCTTGGGATCATTGTCCTGTTGAAAGGTCCAACGTCTCCCAAGCCTCAGGTGTGTGACGGACTGCATCACGTTTCCATCCAATATCTCCTGGTACTGAAGAGAATTCATGGTACCTTGCACACGCTGAAGCTTCCCTGTACCTGCAGAAGCAAAACAGCCCCAAAGCATGATTGACCCTCCACCATGCTTCACAGTAGGCAAGGTGTTCTTTTCATCATAGGCCTTGTTCTTCCTCCTCCAAACATAGCGTTGATCCATGGGCCCAAACAGTTCTAATTTTGTTTCATCAGTCCACAGAACACTATCCCACAACTTTTGTGGTTTGTCCACATGGCTTTTGGCATACTGCAGTCGACTCTTCTTATTCTTTGGAGACAGCAAGGGGGTACGCCTGGGAGTTCTGGCACGGAGGCCTTCATTACGCAGTGTGCGTCTTATTGTCTGGGCTGAAACTTCTGTACCCACATCTGACAAATCTTTTCTCAGTTCCTCAGCAGTCACACGGGGACTTCTCTCCACTCTACGCTTCAGGTAGCGCACAGCAGTCGAAGTCAGCATCTTCTTTCTGCCACGACCAGGTAGCGTTTCAACAGTGCCCTTTGCCTTGAATTTGCGAATGATGCTTCCTAAGGTGTCTCTTGGTATGTTTAACATCTTTGCAATCTTCTTATAGCCATTGCCCTTCCTGTGAAGAGAAATCACCTCTTCTCTTGTCTTCCTGGACCATTCTCTTGCCTTCACCATGTTTGTAACCACACCAGTAAATGTCTAGAAGGAGCTGAGTATCACAGTCATTTTAAAGCTGCCTAATTGGTGCTTATTATGCTTGATTGCTGCTCGGTGACATCCACAGGTGTTTTCAATACCTGATGGAAAGCACCTGTATGAACCTCTGTTCTTCAGAGTGGTAGTCTTTAAGGGGTTGAATAATTGTGGCAATGAAGAAACCACATAAGAACCATTTACTACTGTATTACATAAACAATTGATGTCATTTTAGTTGCATTTGGGTAGTTACAACGTCCTTGTAGGATTTGATTCTGAATACAATTCCAAATGTACACTATAGTCCCTAAACCCCTTTACAGCATTGGGGGTTGAATAATTTTGGTCACAACTGTAAAACTATTAGAATAGTCTTTTACATTTTAGAATGGGGTGCCACAGGACTGTCCATAATTTTAAAGGGTGCTGCAGGACTATCCATCATTGTAAAGAGTGCCATGGGACTGTCCATAGTTTTAAATGGTGCCACCGGACTGTCCGTGGTTTTAAAGGGTGCCTCAGGACTGTCAATAATTTTAAAGGGTGCCACCGGACTGTCCATAATTTTAAAGGGTGCCTCGAGACTGTCCAAAATTTTAAAGGGTGCCTCGGGACTGTCTATAATTTTAAAGGGTGCCTCGGGACTGTCCATAATTTTAAAGGGTGCCACAGGACTGTCCATAATTTTAAAGGGTGCCTCGGGACTGTTCATAATTTTAAAGTGTGCCTCGGGACTGTCTATAATTTTAAAGGGTGCCACCGGACTGTCCATAATTTTAAAGGGTGCCACGGGACTGTCCATAATTTTAAAGGGTGCCTCGGGACTTTTAAAGGGTGCCACGGGACTGTACATAATTTTAGAGGGTGCCTCGGGACTGTCTATAATTTTAAAGGGTGCCTCAGGACTGTCCATAATTTTAAAGGGTGCCTCGGGACTGTCCTTAATTTTAATGGGGGTCTCAGAACTGTCCATAACTTTAAAGGGTGCCTCAGAACTGTCCATAATTTTAAAGGGTGTCTCAGAACTGTCCATAATTTTAAAGAATGTCTCAGAACTGTCCATAATTGTAAAGGGTGCCTCAGGACTGTCCATAATTTTAAAGGTTGCCATGGGACTATCCATAATTTTAAAAGGTGCCTCGAGACTGTCCATAATTTTAGAGGGTGCCTCAGGACTGTCCATAATTTTAGAGGGTGCCTTGAAATTGTCCATAATTTTAAAGGTGCTTTGATCGAAAAAAGATTGAGAAACACTGCTTTAGACACTTGAAGGAGGGAGGTGTATTGTAGCGTCACACTAAACTATATGATATTAATCAGCAAATACGGATGCCCTATATACATATTATTAACAGGAACATTTTTTTGTTAATCACACATTGAAAGGTTTGCATTGCACTGCAATATGTCATTTAAATCTACGAAAGTAATGAAAACAGATAACACTGTATTTAAAGCTAGCAAAGAATATCAACAGGTGACAAGGACTAAAGAGGACATGAAAATCTATGGTACAGTTGTTCGGCACAGAAACCCGGAATAGTTCAGCAGACAGCAATATATCTTCCAGGGACAACCCTTCAGAAATGCCAGTAGGAACCAGGCAACGCAGGCGACTATAGATTTAATAGCATGGTTGAAAACGCCGAACATTTCTAGAGAGAAATCTTCAAAACTTAGCTTGGTCCATGGCAATCAGGGACAACTACTATCTGTGCTTAGAACAACAAGGCCTACAATGCACGGTGTGCATGTGAAAAAAGCACTGCATTCCCGATAATATAAGAGCCAGGCTAAGAGAGCTTACTCTGGCTTCCTACAAGGCTGTGCTGTGTGTACAAGTATATATTTAGACCTTACCTTTCAGGATCCGGACATAAACAAATACTCCGCCAACACAGCAGAGGGGAAGAAGCCTCACACACTTTGCCTGGACCCAGCCGGCAAGGCCTGAGCTCTGAAGCTTGCTCTGCCTGTCTCACATTTTCCAGTTAGAAACTTGCAGCCAAGACCCTGCCCAGCCCCAAAGAATTTCCTGGATAGCTCTCCCTCTATTGAAGCCTGGCCGCCTATGTGTTAGAGGAACGCACTGCCAGCATCTGCTGCTTCTCCTGGTCTCAGATCCCCGGAATAAAGTGGCCGAACACATGCTTTACATTACCAGGCTTCCTGTATTGCCTTCTGATAGCCAAGAGGGCCTGGTTCAGTGCTAACTGGAATGAAACCGATAAGATGAGCCACAAGCTGCCAACGCTCACAGCCAAATCTGAGCAAAATGCAAAATATTTTCACGTGAATCTAGCATCAGATGTGTCATTTCATATTAAACGCAAGCATGTTAGGTAAATACGGAGATGTAACACTTCCCGGTAACTATTACCTCCCACAGAGATCACAATACTACCCACGGACAATGCCGACATTTGATTTTTTTTCAAGACCATCCGTATCTACTCCCTGCACTGGCTCAAAGGTTCCACAATCATGTAAAACCTGGTGTATGTGCATGGCAAATGTTCCATCCTGCAACTGGTCGGAAAGGAACATCAAATTGACTCTACCATCCATTAGAAAATTGAACAAAAATTCCCAAAAGGAAAAATTTTGGACAAAATTCTACTGGTGTATGGCCAGCTTTAGATATTGTGAGCTTGCCTGTTTACACGACTAAATAACATTAGACAAGCCATAGATGATGCGATTTTCTTTCCTGCAAGCACGGAAATCCGACAGATTGGTTGTACTACAGTCGATCCATGGATTGACTTCGGTACAACCAGCCTTCCCACAGACGGATCAAATCTCAACCAGTCCCTGCTGAACCGGCTGAGATTCTATCCATCTATGGCAGCATGGGCAGCACAGTGGCTAAATGGTTAGCACTTCCGCCTGGCAGTACTAGGGTCGTTGGTTTGAATCCCAACCACGGCACCACCTGCGTAAATTGAAGGTGCTATATACCTGAAATAAATAAATAAATATGGCTGGCTTAAAGTAGAACTATAGGCAAAACTTTTTTTCATTTTGGATAGAGCAAGGGAGGGTTATAACCCATCAGATTTTTTTTTTTTTTGCCATCTGTGTCCCATTGCGAAGATTTCCCTTCACTTCCTGTCCCATAGCGAAACAGGAAGTGAGAGAAAACCCCTGGAAATTAAGGGAATTCCTTGAGGACCCCCATGTCACTAGAACCAGTGTCCCCATTGGAAGATGTCCCATCTATTACTTTTCTAGAGACAACCCAAAATTTGGAATTTTCTTTTACTTTCACTTTCAATGATAATGGTAAACAGGACAAATAGAGAGGGCGACTCTCCGTAAGTGGGGTACAGACAGCAATTAAAACTGACAGGTGTTCTAATCCATGTCCACTCTATCCAAAACTAAAAAAAAAAATGTTTTGCCTTTAGTTATACTGTAAGTTCAAAATACACACACGGCAAAATGAGTCAAAGAAGATGTCATCCCTGCAAGGAGAGGAGAGAAAGCCGTGGGGATTGAAATCCTGCAGCTTTCTCTCCTCTCCTACAGCTGAGAATCTGGCGCACTGCCGCGGCTTTCTCTCCCCTCCTACAGTTGAGAATCTGGCGCACTGCCGCTGCTTTCTCTCCTCTCCCACAGCTGAGAATCTGCCGCACTGCCGCTGCTTTCTCTCCTCTCTCCTACAGCTGATAATCTGCCGCACTGCCACTGCCTTCTCTCCTCTCCTACACCTGAGAATCTGGCACACTGCCGCGGCTTTCTCTCCTCTCCTACAGCTGAGAATCTGATGCACTGCCGCTGCTTTCTCTCCTCTCCTACAGCTGATAATCTGGCGCACTGCCACGGCTTTCTCTCCTCTTCTACAGCTGAGAATCTGGCGCACTGCCGCGGCTTTCTCTCCTCTCCTACAGCTGAGAATCTGGCGCACTGCCGCGACTTTCTCTCCTCTCCTACACCTGAGAATCTGGCGCACTGCCGCGGCTTTCTCTCTCTCTCCTACAGCTGAGAATCTGACGCACTGCCGCTGCTTTCTCTCCTCTCCTACAGCTGATAATCTGGCGCACTGCCGCTGCTTTCTCTCCTCTCCTACAGCTGATAATCTGGCGCACTGCCACGGCTTTCTCTCCTCTCCTACAGCTGAGAATCTGGCGCACTGCCGCGGCTTTCTCTCCTCTCCTACAGCTGAGAATCTGGCGCACTGCCACGACTTTCTCTCCTATACCTGAGAATCTGGCGCACTGCCACGACTTTCTCTCCTCTCCTATACCTGAGAATCTGGCGCACTGCCGCGGCTTTCTCTCCTCTCCTACAGCTGAGAATCTGGTGCACTGCCGCGACTTTCTCTCCTCTCCTACAGCTGAGAATCTGGCGCACTGCCACGGCTTTCTCTCCTCTCCTATACCTGAGAATCTGGTGCACTGCTGCTGCTTTCTCTCTCTCTCCTGCAGCTGAGAATCTGGCGCACTGCCGCAGCTTTCTCTCCTCTCCTACAGCTGAGAATCTGGCGCACTGCCGCAGCTTTCTCTCCTCTCCTACACCTGAGAATCTGGCGCACTGCCGTGGCTTTCTCTCCTCTCCTACAGCTGAGAATCTGGCGCACTGCCGCGTCTTTCTCTTCTCTCCTCTCCTACAGCTGAGAATCAGGAGCATCTGCCTCCATCCTCCGATGGCCGACAACAAGGTATACATCCCCACAAGACCCTCGCTCCCACTCTATGCTCAGTATGGGATTGGTGCAGGAAGGTTTCCAGCACCGCTCCTGTGTGAACTCATGACAAGCCTGGGTTCACACAGGAGTGTGAATTGCATTCCTGTTCAAATTGCATGCTATTCTTTGCAGTGCAATTTGTGTCCATACATTTTGTATTGACGCAAATCGCACCAAAAAGTATCGGTACTTGGTATCGTCGGGTACTTGATGGAAAGTATCGGTACTCGGCGATCAAAAAATGGTGTCGGTGCATCCCTAGTGGGAAGGATTCAGCAAAATAGGCAGCACTGTCCATACATAAGGCAGTTGCTGGGACTAGGCAAGGCCAGGTGCTGACTGACAATCCGGGCTTGTGGATCAGCAGTGACAAGGCTGACAGCTGCATCCCCTGCAACATCTACTTATTCCACTGCACAGCGTACATGAGAGTGGCAACTCTGCTCTGATTCAGAAGCAGTGCAGCATTGTTGCCAAACCATCACAGAAGCTACATTAGGTTGACTTTACTGGCAGGTTCAACAGGTATCTGTGGAACATTGCAGGGGGAATAATACATACTGTAACGACACGTGCATTTATAATTAAATACTCTGGCACATTTTTTTAATGGTGGTCCATAGTTCTACTTATAATATATAAATATATGCTGCAGAAGACAGGAGAATTAATGGAAACATGTTGTTTTCCCTGAGTGGGAAAAGCTCAGGTTTGCTTTAAAATTAAAGACAGTCTAAAAGCAAACAGCTTCTGCTGTGCTCTATCTTTAGAAAACCCATACTGGGTGTATGACACGAAATGTTTATTTGTAAAATACAAATTTTTGTACAAATTGTAACAAAGATATGAAGCACACGTTTAAAACATATACATGTAAAAAAAAAAAAGATTGACTAGAACCATCATAGTGTTTTTTTTTTTTTGTGAAAGAAACTTCGTACTTTCATTCCATTTCATTCCTATTGTATCAGTTTTTTTCCTAGATGCTTTTTTTCAAAGATCATTGCATGGATTTAAAATAGAAAGAATGAAATTGTTCAACTGCTTTCCATTGTCTGTAAAAGATGGAACCAGCAGGAATCTATCATGTATGCAGTATGCTACAGATTTAAAACAAGACAGACAACATAAAGGAATAAATACATAATGCTAATGATTATCTGCACACACAGGCAAGTAAAAAGAGAGCTGTGGGGTGCTTTAGTTTCATTTTCAATTTCATAGAAAAATATAATTAAGAATAAAATCAGATGAAAAAAAAAAGATGTAGTCCATTTTTAAAAATGTTTCCTCTACGTGCGCTTTAAGAAACAGTATAGAATACAATATTACTAGAGATGAGCGAATCGAAGTATCCGAAGTGTGGAATTTCGAGTCGAATATCGGAAAAATTTCGATTCGTG